AATTTTTCTAGCACCATTTGCTAAATATGGTCTCCTTTCCCCAGTGATTGTTATTGGTGGCTTTGTTGAAGATGAGTTGGTTGAAAGATTGTGTTTTTACTTCCAGAATCTCTGTTCCATTCCATTGGTCTATGTACCTATTCCTGTACCAGTACTGTGCTGTCTTGGTTGCTGTAGCCTTGTAATAAAGTGTAAAGTCTGTATGTGTGATACCTCCCACTTTGTTCCTTTTGTTGAGGAATGTTCTTTATTTTCTTAATGGGGTCTTTTAATGTTGATTAAATACAATTTTTTAAAAATGTTCTTGAAGAGTTAGTGTTTTCTATGTGTTTTAACAAGTTTGAAGATTTTTTTCTTCTGTGTATACTTCCTGCTACCTTTTATGTAACCATAACAGCAGGATTTCCTGTGATAATAACTTTGCAGAGTTTGGAGATAAAAACCCTGGGATTGCACCCATTAAATGGCTTCTGGTCATTTAAACAAGAGTCCAGTCTCTTTCTTTCTCCCCACTTTCTTTCTCTTTATATCTATCCCTCCAGTTTAATCACTGACGCTGTCACATCGCCAGAGACTCCCGATCCCTGCAGGGGCAGGATCCCCGCAATTTACTTTTTATATTTAGGTCTCTGGTGCATTTTCCCTCGAATTATTTTATGTTATTTTATTTTGCCTATGGTGGAAGGCAAGGGTTAATCCTCTATGGCTATCCCTATGCCAATACTGTGATGTTTTGGTTGATGAAGCTAAAAAAAGGTCTTGAAATCCTTCCAACTCTCCCTTCTTCATCAAAACGGTTTTGGCTATTATAAAGCTATTGCATCTTTATGCAAATCTTGAATCAACTTGTTAGTTCGTGATTGACATTGCATTCTATCTGTAGATCAACTTTGGGAGAACTTAGATCTTAACAGTATTTATCTTTCAAGGCGTAGAAATGGTATGTCTCTTTATTTGTTTAAATCTTTAAAAAATTTCTCCCAGTAGTGCTTCTTTCATGGCTTTTGTTAAATTAATTTTTAAATATTTTATTTTTTGGATGTTATTTCTTGTAAATAGTATGTATGTATGTATATATGTATATATTATTTTTTTGAGTTGGAGTCTCACTCTGTTGCCCAGGCTGGAGTGCAGTGGCACACTCATGGCCACCCCAGCATCGACCTGCTGGCCTTCTGTGATCCGTCTGCCTCAGCCTTCCAAATATTCAGAACTACAGGCACACGCTATCATGCCCAGCTAAATTTTCATTTATTGTAGAGACGAAGTCTCGCCAAGTTGCCAGGACTGGTCTCCAACCCGTGGGTTCAGGCAATCCACTCACCTTGGTCTCCCAAAGTCCTGGGATTACAGACTTAGCCACTGAGCTCGGCCATAAATAGCATTTTAAAAGTTTTATGTTCTCATTATTCATTGCTAAAATATTTCAATAAATAGATGATTATAAATTGACTCGTCATCCTGTTGTTGACTTCATTAGATTTATCTATTTGGTCAAATTGTTATCCATTAAATTCCTTGGTGTTTTTCACATCCATGATGTTACCTTTAAATGATTAAATGATGTGAAGTTTTCATAGATGTTTCTTACATTGAGGAAGTTCCCAATTTGAGTTTAACTTACTCTACAGTTTTGTGCTTCTTAAATTGGAAATTTAGATTTTTAAAAAAGATTTTTCATATATCTGTACCTACATATGTATACACATATACACACATATGAAGTAAAAAAAAGTCATTAAAAATTTCTCTTTAAACACTACGTTAGCTGCCTCTCACAACGTTTGATATGTTATGCTTTCATTATTATTTAAATCACAGAATTTCCTAATTTCTTTTAAAGTCATGTTATTTAAATTAATATTGCTTAATTTTAAATATTTGTGGATGTACAGATATCTTTATTAATTTTTAATTTAAATTCATTTTAGTCTAAAAACATACTCTGTATGATTATAGTCCTTGTGAATTTACTTGAGAACTTTTTAAAAATCCCATCTGATAGTCTATATTTTTCAATGTATTATTCTGTTGTTGTTGGGTACAGTGTTCTAAAAATATCATTAAGTCAAGTCGGTCCAGTCATAATCCACTAGAAAACTGGAAAAAGTATATGAAACCACTGTTTCAAATACCAGACAATTGCCCCATCCTTCAGTCTAAGATGCTTTCTGAACACGTGAAGAAACAGGGAACTTGAGAAATTCATGGCAGACTCATTGAGTTCAAGAGCCAGATGGAGGAGCTCTGGGAGCCTGAGACAGCTGCAATTGCCAGAGAAGCGTTATCAGAGAAGATGAAACTACACAAAGAAATCCCTCCATATAATGCATAGGAGATCCCTTGAGTCTGTTGCTGAATAGTAAACTGTACTTGTATAGGGCCAGACTCCACTGAGGTCAGGCAAGGAACTAACCAGGAAACTGTCAGCCAGGTAATCCATAGAGATCAAAAGCACTGAGGGACTTTTGTGTTCCAAAGAAGCTGTGATGGGCAGTATCTTGGCCTCCCATAACCTTAGTCCTCTGGTCTCACACCTGTGATTATTTTATATTACATGTCCAGAGGTATTTTGCGGTCATAATTAAGGTTACGAAGAGCTGACCTTAAGATAGGGAGATGACCTTGAATGATCTGGGAGAGTCCAATGTAATCACAAGAGCTTTTCAAGCAAAAGAAGAAGTCAGAGAGATGTGGCAGGAAAAAGTCAGAGAAAGTCAAAGCGCACTAAATGTTTGATGCATGATTATTGGTGTGAAGATGAAGAGAGGCAAGTATCCAGATAAGTGTATCTCAGTACTACAACCATAGGGAACTGAATTCTGTTGACAGTCTTGAGCTTAGAAAAGAATGTGAAGCCTCAGATGAAAATGGCAGTCCTGCCTGATACCTTGATTTTAGCTTAGTAGACCCCAAGCAGATATTCCAGTCATATTAAGCCAGACTTTTGGCCTACAGAAACTGTGACCTAATGAACAGGCATTAAGTTTGTGGTAATTTGTTATAGCGGCTGTAGAACACTAATACACAGCCAGAGTAAAGAGGCCCATTGTACACTGTGGACATTCAGTAGAAACCCTAGAAGTCTTAGAAGTAGAGCCAAATCATCTCTAGAGAAAGGCTACTCCAGTTACACTATAACAAAGAAGAGAAACCCTAAAATGAGAAACACCTTAACTGCCTAACAGTTAACTTCAAACAATCCTTAAAGAAGAGAGAAAAAAAATCGGTCATGCAAGAACCTAGCATTTGCCATGTCTGGCATCTGATATTCCTCAAAATGTCAAGCAGTAAAGTGTTACTCTTAACCAAGAAAATATCAATAGCTAATATCAAACCCATAAATAACAGGGATAGTGGTATCAGTAGACAAAGACATAAAAACAGACATATGTACATAGATATATAGATATACATATCTATATATCTATATACATATGTTGCATATATATTCAAATATTAAAGGAAAAGTATGAACCTCATGAGAATAGAAATGACAGGTAGCTTGAGAAAATTCTAGAGCTAAAAGATACACTATTTGAAATGAAAAATTGACTAGATGGAATTAAGCATAAATCATAAATACTTTGAAGGAAAGAGGTAAGATCGTTTAAAAACAGAGCAAAAGAAACTCTCTGAAATGAAACAAAATATTTACAAAATGAAGAGAGCCTCAGTGATGTGTGGGGAAAAATCAAACCGTTTCACTGGGGCCCCATAAAAGCAAAGAGGTAAAAAATTATTTTTAAAAGTAAAGCCAAAAGTTATACCAAATTTGATGAAAACTATGAACTCATACATCCAAGAGGCTCAGTGAACCCTACTCAGAAAATATCCACAAATGCACAAACCCCACCAAAATCAAATTGCTAGAAACTAATGGGAAAATCTTGAAAGCAGACATAGAAAAAAAGATTCATTGCCTATGAGAAAGCAACACTAAAAATAAACACAGGCCTTTCTTCTAAAACAATGCAAACCAGGAAACAACGAATGGCATCGTTAAGGTAAAAAGAAAAATAAACATGTCAATCTGGAAATTCATTTATCTGGTAAAAATATCCTTTAAAGATGAAGGTCAAAGACTTGTTTTCCCATGACCCAAAGCTGAATGAATGTGTTGCCAGCAGAACTGCACCAGAGAAATGTTAAAGGAGTTTTTCGGTGCGACAGAAAACAACACCAGATGAAAATTTAGATCTGCTGCACAAGGGAATACGGAATGTCAGAAATGATAATGTGGGGAGTGTTATGATATTCATTTAACATGGACTGTGCCAAGATAGAGATGCATGCTATAAACCCTAGCGTGCTTTCTGGGAAAACAAAACCGAGAGATGCTGCCAAAATGCCAGGTGGAATTCTAAAAAGACAGTGGCTTCAAAAGAAGTCAGGAAAAGAGTAGCAAAGAGATAAACACGAGAGCACGGCAAATAAATGATAAGTTGGTGGACTCGAAGCCAAGTTTGAGTTAGTTATATTAAATGTAAATTTTCGAGGCAAAGCAATTAAGATGAATTTTTCATACAAATACATAAAAACAAAGTAAAGGGATGGAAAAATACATACCATGCACATAGTAATTATGAACCAGCAATAATGACTGCCCAATTTCAGAACAATAATTATTGCCAGGGATTAAGAGCAATATTTCATCATGATAAAAGGGTATATTCAGCAAGTAAAAAAAGTAATATCTCTTGATTCATTGACCTGATATTTTATCTAAGTTATTGGTTCTGGAGTGGGAGCCTTATTTGCTCCACTCCTGAGACACTGAGAAATATGTTTAGTTCATCAGGAGAGAGTGATGTTAGAAAGGGGTGCCCTAGGGGCCAGGAATGCCAATGTCCTGCAAGACTAAGGACGGGTCTGCGCAATAAAGATAAATAATTTGTCCTCCCTCTCCAAATTCCAGTCCTGCTTTATTGATCAATACGTATTATCCTATAGTTTCATGCTCGATTACAAAACATTTTTATATGTTTCGATACACTCACCTGACTTTGGGTATGTAGCTAGAATGAGATCATCAGGCCTGGCTTCAAACTTACTGATTTTATCCCATATTTCATTGGATGATATTGGCAGTGGAACTCCACCCACTTCAAGAATGCTCATCGGTGGTGGCTTCTTTGCCGGAGTATGAGTGTTTTCTTCAACCTGCGCCATCAGGAACCTGGCATTGATGTTGTCAGCCCCATTTAAAATAAAATAAAATAAAATAAAGTACAATGTTTTATTTAAAATAGCATCTCTGTCGTGACTTACAAAATACGTTTTATGGCTCATAGTAAGTGCTACCATGTTATTTACAGAAGTTGATTAGAATAACATAAAATCAATGAAAGCTAGCATAGATAATGCATTACTATAGAACTTTAAAAAAGTTATTCTACATACTTTATTTAATCTTTATAGCAACCACATGCAATATATGATATCATTTCTGTTTTCTTAGTCCATGATCCAACAACCAAATTACCTGTTGGAGTAGTAGGAATAATAATAATGTCCCTTATATGACTTGATAATTTTCAAAACGTTATTTTGTGTAATTATAAATGACATGATTATATTGAAGAGAAATCACAGCAATAATTTTCAGAAATATTCGAGAGTCAATTTTCTTTTAATTTCTACCATAGCAAATTTTCAAAAAACAAACTTTTATATGTTCATTCATTTATGGCCTTGTTTTCCAAAGATCAGTCATGGGTTTACAGCAAGAGTATGTGTTTATAAGATATCATGTGTTTGCAAAAATTAACAAATTTTTGAAAATTGGCATTCAGTTGGGGTATATCTGGGACATTTAACCCTACTGTACACATGAAGATCCTGTATCCCACTTGAAAGGAAAAAGAAAAACCATCCTTTCAAGATCAGTCTTCTATTAGCTGCCAAAAAAGAAGCTATATTTTGAGATTAAAAGAAGTAACAGAGATATGTCAGGTGAAGGTGATGCAATGCATGCAAAAATACATGAACTCTCAATGTACAAAGCCCTTCAGTTATTTGACATTGAATCAATGTTTGTTCCCCTGTTCTGTGTTGTGAGAGGAAACTTGAACATGTGGCAAAATATCCAGAGGAGAATATTTCTGTCGTTTGTCAATCAGTGTTCTTGGAGAAATGGACTCCAGGGTGACATGAACTTGAGGATTTTGCTGGGAAATGCAGAGTGAAATGGGTTTCCTTGTGGCAGAATGTCTTGGAGTCTTACATTCATTAATGGGCATTTTGAGTTCCTATGAGAAGACACTAGTTTGCAGCATTTCCCAAATTTATTTATTTTCAAGAAGTGGGGTACAATTCAGGGTTGGATATACAAATGTTTATTATGCAGGCACCCTTGTTGATGAGGCTTGCCCCTCCCTCCCCTGGCAGTTTCCCACTACTGCTAATCCCTTTCTTTTAGTATTATGATAATTGGTCAAGATCCACTTACGTGTGAGAACATATGGTACTCTAGAACTTGCATTCTTTAAAACATGCTTTGGGAGACCGTAACCTTGTGCATATAGAAAAGCAGTGGATGGTTGCATAATTGAGACAGCCACTGGTACCCACTCTCAACTTTTTCTGTTGTTTCAAATTCAAAGAAATGAGCAACATTTTATTTATTTTTGCACCAAAATCTGGTATAATGACCTTTAATTCATTTTAGTTTAAGGTGCAAGGTGTCTTTTTCCATGAATGTAGCAGCTGCCAGTGGTTAGTCATTTTGGAATCAGGATCAAGTGTCAGTTTTGTTTTGATACATGCCATCTTCAGTAAAACCCGTAAATTTAAATATATGGAATGTGGTTCAGTGAATTGCATATAGACTTCCTGATGCTTTAATTATTGCATCTTTAGTAGTGGGAGTCTTTTTAAGTTGACTCCTTCCTCCTTTTGACATGATCTGAGTTGTTAATAGCTTTCTGTTATGACAAGGATGCTTTGGGCTCATCATGGAAAGTTGCTACCCTAGTCTTGGAATCAGCTGTATCTCCTGGGAGTCCCAGCTTCTTTCTCTGTGGAGGGAGATATAAAGCCTCTATCTGCACTGGATTTCCTCATTGCTTGTGGACTCATCATTGGCTTCCTGGCCTTTTCAGTGGTCATAGTTAAGAATATGAAGTTTTTGAAGAGAAAATACTTATGAGTCACCCTGAGGTTTCCATTTCAAATTTGGGTCGATTATTTAATTAACCACCTCAGACTTATATTTGCATCACCTTATTCTCATGCCAAAAAAAAAAAAAAAAAAAAAGTCCTGGATCTAGTAAGTCCTATTCAAAAATAAGCACAATTTCACTTATGAACACAGGTATGGAAATTCTGTGTAAGATATTAATTCACTGAACCCAATAGTATATTCAAACTTTACGACTCATGTAAAAATGGTTGAACATCAGAAAAAGTTTTCAAAGCAAGTTATCACAATCATGAACCAAGCAGCTCTACAGTGGCAAAAAGTTCTATAACTCTGACACTAAGCAACAGCAATAACAAAAACTTAAAAAAAAACTCGTATTTATTTATTTTTATTTTAGAGTTGTGATGTACATGTGAGGATTTGCTACATAAGTAAATTGCATGCAGGTGAGGTTTGGACTTCTAGTAAGTTCTCTCTCCTCCTAGTCGTGGTCATGGTACCCAGAGGATGACTGTGTGCTCCTTACCCCACCTCCCTTCCTCCCCCGGTTAGTAATGTCCAGCGTCAGTTGTTGCTGGCTTTGTACTCCCGTGCCAAGTGTTTAGGACTTGCTTATGAGTGAGAATATGCAGTATTCAGTTTTGGAGAATGATGATCTCCAGTTGCCTCTATGTTGTTGCAAAGGACATGATTTTGTTCTTCTTTATGACCGTATCATATTTTGTCATGTATATATACCACATTTTCCTTATCCAGTGCAAGGGGCCAACCCCTGCAGAGAGATTTTGTGGGTCCCTGGGTAGGTGTGGTGGCGTCGGCGATTATTCTGGAGAAATAAAGAGAAAGAAAGAGAGAGACAGGGGGAGAAAGAAAGAGACTGGACTCTGTCTAGGGCAGAAGCCGATTCTATAGGAGGGATAGATATTAAAAGAAAGAAAGATGGAGGGATAGATAGAAAGAGAAAGAAAGAGAAAGAAAGAAAGTGGACATCTGTTCAGTGAATTGAGCAGAAGCCATTTATTGAAACTTACGGCGGGTATTTATCCCCAAATTTTACACAGACAGTCTCACAAGTCTTTCACGTGAACACAAAGCCAGGTGCAGGAGGGGCGTCCTCCCCCCACCAGGTGTTTCCTCAGGTATGAGGAAGAACAATCCCAATTAAATCACAAAACTTTTACATGAACACAAAGCCAGGTGAAGGAGGGGCATCCCTCACCCACCAGGTGTTTCCTGGAGTAAGAGGAAGGGCAATCCCAATTAAATCACAAGACATTTACATGCACATAGAGCCAGGTGGATGAGGGGCGTCCCCCACCACCAGGTGTTTCCCCAGGCACGAGGAAGGAGGATCCCAAAACTATCTCACTGTTCCTCATGCTTGGTTAATATTTCTCAAAAGCAATACAATAATTCTAATATCATAATATTCTAATAATCAATAACTTTTAAAACTTATGCATACACAACACCTAATGACCAACCTAAATCCCACTTCCTCTCTATTTTACGCTAATTCTACCTACACTATAGAAACTCTTAATTATAGCCCAAACCAATTCCTAAAGAATGCAAGCCAGTCCAAAGTATGCGCTGGGCCCTCAGGAATGTGGCCCAGCCCAAAGTTCATGCTGGGCCATTTCTGGTAACCCTAAATAATTATCTATATTATTAAAGTTGAAACAGCACTTTACATGTATATACTAATCCTACAAATATACTTTTAAATCCTATAAAGAAGCTTGTATCGTATATAAGTCTCCCAAATGTGACCTGAGTTTGAATTATGTTAAGTTTAAAGCCGAAACCGCAGTCTGTGAGAAACGGGGACAATGGACTCCTAAAGCAAGCCATGCCTGTCATACTCTCAGAGCTTCATGTTTAGAACATCAAAGTCCCTGCTATTGGGACGTGCCAAACAGCAAAGAAGGGAAGAGGGAATGGGCCATCAGCTCCTGAACTCATCCTAGTGGTCTCAGGGTCCGCAGCCTGCCTGGATCCCTAACGCTCAGGCAGGCCTCCATGGCCGGCTCCCAACAATCCAGTCCACTTTTGATGGATGTCTAGGTTGGTTTCATGTTTTTACTATATTGAATAGTGCTGCAATAAGCATACATATGCAGGTGTCTTTTGGTAGAGTGATTTATGTTCCTCTGAGTATATACCTGGAAGTGGGATTGCTGGATCATTTGGTAGCTCAATTTTTAGTTCTTTGAGAAAACACCACACTACTTCCACAAAGGTTGAACTAGCTTATATTTACATTTCCACCAACAGTGAAGAAGTATTCTACTATCTCTGCAGCCTCATCAACATCTATTTTTTTTCTTAGCTTTTAGTGATAGCCATCCTGACTGATGTGAAGTGGTATCTTGTGGTAGTTTTGATCTGCATTTCTCTGATGATTAGTGAAACTGAGCATTTTAGAAAATATGTTGGATGTCTTCCTTTGAGAAGTGTCTGTTCAAGTCCTTTGCCCTCTTTTTTTATGGTGTCTTTTTTCCCCCCTGTCGATTTGTTTGAGTCCCTTATAGATCCTGTATGTTAGGCCTTTGTCAGATGGATAGCTTGCAGATGCTTTTTTTTCCCATTCTGTGGGTTCTCTTTATACTTTTAGTGGCTTATTTTGCTGTGCAAAAACATTATAGTGTGATGAGGTCTCACCTGCCAATCTTAGCTTTTGCTGCATTTGCTTTTGAGGACTCAGTCATGAGTTCATTGCTTATTCCAATGTCCAAGAGGTGATCCCTAAATTTCTAAGATTCTTATAGTTTGGAGTTTCACCTTTAAGTCTTTGATCCATTTTGAGTTAATTTTTGCATATGGTAATAGGCAGAAGTCCAGTCTCATTCTTCTACATGTGGTTAGCTAGTTTCCCCAGCACTGTTTGCTAAATATGGGATCTTTTTACAATGCTTGCTTTTGTCATCTTTGTTGAAGATGAGTTGGCTGAAGGCCTGTGATTTCTCTTCTGGATTCTCTGTCCTGTTCCATTGGTCTGTGTGTCTGTTTTTGTACTAGTATCATT